GGCGGCTTCTCCTGAGAGGGTCCCCTGGCCCTCCACAGCCCTCCCGCTCTCACGCACAATGAACTCAGGCAGGTTGTGTGTTGTGTCTCGCTTCTGCCGCCGCTTGGGTGGGGGCTGCACCTCTGGGGGTTCACAGTATAGGTCAGTCTCGGTCAGTGTCTTCATAATGCAACGCTCAGCACCCACAAATGCCTCAGCCTCCTCCAGCGTCATGGCCTTGTTCAGATTGGTTCCCTAGAGGGGGTCGGGTGGCAGATGTCAGAATGATCAGCAAGACTCCCTCCCTACCCTGTCCTGGGTCCCCATGCTGTAGGTCTGCTTACCCGAGCATGGATGAGCTTGTTGACCTGCTTCTTGACGCCACCTGTGAAGTTCTCAAAGGTGGGATCCGCCACATACTCAAAGGCACCAGCTTCGGTCCTGAGCAGGGCACGATGACCATCCATCTGTATCAATGCAGTGAGGTTGTAAGCCTCAGGTTCTTCAGGGACAGCAGGCGACAAGAAGACGACCTTGGTGTCATTGTAGAACACATACTCAGTGCCTGTGACCTGTGGAATGGGTCCAACAACTTCAGGCCACTTGATGAAGACCTTGCCCCTACTGGTCCCCAGTTGCTCATGTTCCCATTAGAAATGAACCCACGGCAGGACTGCAGGACTGACCGTCATGGGTTCCAGGGATTCAGCCTCCCGCCGCCTCCGCCAGGACCTCAAGGGCTCAGCAATGACAACCATGGCGAACTTCTGGATGAGGCTGAAGCCCTGGCCTGTAACATTGATGCTCCGGCCACCACTGGGGGTTAGGGAGAAGTTGAGTGAGTTCAGCCAGCTTCCAGGTTCCTACCCCAGGTAGGACGTGGTACAGTAATAATGTGACTAGTCAGAGGCAGGGGAAGGGGGGAATAGTGGCCCTGCTCTGACCCCGCCATCTGGGTTCTGAGGAGGAAGCCCATCAGGGTGCAGTGGGGTTTTCCAGGAGATCCCTTCTCCTGCCCTGCCCAGCCCAGTTCTGCCACATTCCTCAGGTCAGCAGGCGGGGCAGGGAAGACACACTAGACAGGAAGGGGAGAGGCCACACCTGACAAAGCTTCTCAGTGGTTCAAAGGCTCGTAACACTGGGTTCTCACAGTAGGTGAAGGAGACACCAGAGCTGGGCACTCGGGAGCCCCCATAGGAGATTTCTAGTACCATCTGGCCTGGAGCCAACTGTGGACCCGTGACACACTGCAGCTGTGCTCCAAACTTTGTCCTAGGGTGGGAGGTACTTGTCAGTACATGGGGCCAGTTCCACTGCCTCCTCCATGGCAGCTTTTCCACCCTTCCCCCAGGGCTAGGCAGGCTCAGCAGCCATGGGCAACACATACACTTCACAAGGGACATCATTGAGTGTCACCCGAACATCCTCCTTGGAGCCTGTGTCCAGGTGAGTGCCATTGATGGTCAATGTGGTACCACCTGCCTGTGGCCCCTGTCGTGGCTCCACACTGAGAGGCTGGGGTTGCTGAGAGCAATACACATAGTTAGTGCCAAGGACTCGGGATCACCGGATAGTGACTATTGTTAGAAGCCAACTGCTATGGGGTCAGTACAAAGGCTGGACTCATAGCTTGGTCAGGTACTTACTTGGTAAGTGAACTGGACGTGTGGTGGTGAATGGCCAAGCTTTCCATTTACATCCACCTCAATACCTCCCGTGAAAGGCGTCTCTGCAGCCTCAATTGCACACACAATCCTGTTGATAGACAGAACCCAGTCAGCTCTTTACTTACCACTGTAGCATCTGCGAAGTTGCTGGGAGCTCAGGCTGATGGAGCTCACTCACCGGGTAGATACGGAGTACCATTTTGGTTCAAAGGCACAGTTTTGGCCAGCCACAGTGATCTTCTTGACATCATCTGCTGTGACACCCAAATTGGACCCATGGATAGTGACTCGGATGCCCCCACCCAGTGGGCCTGTCTCAGGCTGGATCTGAAATTGGCAGAGCCTGGTAAATGAATGGCTTGGGAAGATGAAGCTGTGGGGACGGGGTAGAGGTCAGTTGTGGCAAAACTCACCCTGGTAATGACTGGTGGTGGGCATTCTGAAGTAACATTGCTGCACAGGGCCTCATACACACACCGGTTCTGCCCCCGGCACCACACACACCTGTAGGCAGGATCAGCAGCCAGACACAGGCTACAGTCACTGCGGCCAAAGGAGCAGTTGTAGAGAGTCACTGTGGAGGAGAATGTAGTTAGTAGTCGTTCTGGTCCCTACCCCACCTTCCCCAGATTCCACCTACCTTGTAGCTTGCTGTCAATTTTCTTGTCAAAGGACTTAACATACAGGTGAAGAGGCAGTGTCTCATTAGTGTCATGGGATAGCTGCATGGGACACATAGGGACAAACTGTATTGCCTGCCCTTCTGATACCCCAAAAGCCACAGGAATCCCTCTACTGCCAAAGGTCAGTGAAGTCTGCCAGGTAGACAGGAATTAGTGTACATCACACAGACATACTCTGAGAACATGAGTATGTTCAAGGACATAGACAGAGATGCTTGGAGACCACAAGGCACAGGGCAGGAGGGACAAGACCCTGGCTAGGCTCCAGTCCCAGAGGTAATACCCACCCTCCAGCCCTGAGATGAGTGGTAGTACCTTTGGGGTCTTAAAAGAGAAGGCTCCTGACTCCTGCATAGTCACAGTTGCCTTAAACTTCAACAGGTCACTGCCCACATAGAGGGAAGAAACCTTCCCAGTGTCCAAGTTCTTGCCCTGGAAGGTCACTTCTGTCTCATGGTTCATGGGGATGACCGAAGGGCTAGGGTCCAGGAACGCATAGAATCCGTGTCTCCAAAAGTTCCCAAAGAACCTCACCACCTAGTCTGCTCATGTTCAGGTACCTCTGAAGACCTCTGCCTCCCTCCCTATCTCTAATGTCTCCCGACTACTCTCAGTGCTGAGTGGAGATGTAAAGACCCTCAGCTTCGGGAGGATAACTCTCAAGCAAGCCCCTACCACCACCAGCGAAACTTCACCCAAGGCCTTCTCTACCTTCCCAGTGTCCAAGTTTTTGCCCTGGAAGGTCACTTCTGTCTCATGGTTCATGGGGATGACCGAAGGGCTAGGGTCCAGGAACTGGGGGCAGTTGACCTCCTGGGAGAGAAAGAGCAAAACTGGTGAGATGGAGCTCTCCTAACACCTGTGGTCCTAACCACAGGCATATCAGAGTGGCTGGCTCACCATGTGGGCACGTATGATTCCATCCTCCGGGTTGGGTGAGGCCTCTCGACACTCATGATACAGCAGGTCCCACTGGCACATCCAACGGTTGCTAGCACAAGAGATGCACCTGGTGAGAGGGTCATAAGGGTGTGAGGGGCTTGGATTACAAGGAACCTAGGAGGCAGGGGCGGGGCGGGGGCGGGCCTCAAAAGGCAGCCAGGACTCACGGCAGGTTCTCCACCAAGCTCATAGCCTCTCTGCAGTCATAGAAAGGATACTGGTGGGAGGTGAGGAAGACACTGCCACGTTTGAAGAGGAGCTGGATGCTCACAGCCACATGGTCTGAAGAATGCGGGTGGGGATAGGGTCAGGTGTAGCTAGAGAAGAAGGGTGGAGCTGGACCTGCTCCAATGCCCAGCTGAAAGCAGGACTGTGCTGGGACCTTAGGCTACAACCCAGTCTGTAGGTTCAGCTGGTCCTGCATGTTCAGGTGGCCCGCTGATGCAGTCCAATCTGGGCTCTGGTCTCAGCTCCTAGGGCTAGGCTCATCTTTCTCCCCTGGGCTTGGCTGCTTTCATACCCCCTCTCTGTTCCTGCAAGTGCTGAGGGCAGTTGGCTCCTTAGAGTCTGGGTGGGAGGGACTCCCAGGTCCCTGCCCGTATCACTCTGTGGCCTCATGGCCTTGTCACCCCCAGCATTCAACGGACAGACAGATATAGCACCTGTCTTAGCCCAGACTGAGGCCTTCAACCAGCTGCCTCGGGCTGGGTACAGTAGCAGTACAAATAACTCATGGGGGATCATGATCTTGGTCTCCCTAGAACAGAGCACTCAGCCTTCAGGCGAAGAACAAAGTATTCTCAAAATTGGGATTTTTTTTTTTCCCTCTCTTCCCAATAATAACAGCCTGCACCTAGGATTGGTTCATACATAGTGCTTAATGAAGTAAAATAGGAGAGTAGGTAAGAGTCTAGAAAAAGCTTTGGGCAGGAAAAAGGAAGCAGAGTAGGCCCAGGGACTAAAGGATATGAGACCTCACCTTGGCCTGGTGGTGTGCTAGGGATGCTGCTTGGGGGGTCACAGATGATGGCATCCCCCTCGACCTGGGCAGAGCGTGGTGGTGGTTCACCAAAGAGGCACAGCAACTCATCCTCCTGAGTCAGGGTGGGTAGGGGGCTGACAGACAGCCGTACCTGCAGGAGGAGACATAATTCCTAGAACATGCTTCTGGGTCTAGGATGTTCATGTGGTCCTGGGTCCAAGGACCCAGACACCAGACTCTCCTGGGACTACCAATAAGGAATCCCCTGGGCCAGCTTGA